AAACAAGCTCGCTCTACACAAATATAAAATGTATGACGTTCACATTATAACTATGAGTCCTACTGTATAATATTGTGTGATAATTTATTATGTAAATTGTAAATGCAACTTGGATAAATGCTTATAGAAAATTAGTTCAAAAAATCGTTTGAGTAAAAAAACTAAAATGACGGGAACATACTTGACATTATTAAAAGTATTGATATATATTAATAGGTATATATTATATTTATGTGTATATAAGAACAAGAAACTAGTTTTACAGGTAGTTTTTATTAGATATAAGACCTATGTAAGAACTATTTCTGCGTTAGTCATGATAAGTAAATCGAATCTTCAATATAAGTCAAAAATCAAAATATCATATAATTAAAGGTTTAATTATACTATAGAGTATAGTTTACTGTAGACTGTTGTCATGGATGTTATTTTTAAATTTATGATTTAATGTCTTATACATTTTTGTCAATGGTTAAAAATAATTAAAAATATAGTTTTTTTCTTAATATAGCTCGATAGACTTGTATACGTTTTTTTACGACATTGCAAAAATTTTAGCGATTTTCTTAAAATTGTATATTATTAAACCATGAACTAATCTGAAGAACCCAATTTATCAAATTTTTAACTGATAGAAATGTATAAACAATTTTTGTGGCACTAAATATACAGTCCCGAAAAGTAACAATTTATTGTTAACCTTAAACCTTAAAAGATTTCTCTTAATATAAAAATATGGCATTACATTACTCTTTGTTGTATAATTATAAATTAGTGATTGTAATTATACCTTCATACGGAAATTTTTAACTGAGGTACATAATTATACACAACTTCAACGTCAGTTTTTATGATTCACTCGTTGTACCTGCAATTAATTTATTCGGTATAAGACTATAGGGTATTCTATACACAAAAAAAAATGTTTTATACTATGGATATTTAATTGCTAAAAACAATATAATTAGGTACTTTTACGGAATGTTTTTAATTTAATTGCTGCACAATTTAACAATAATGTGGGAATATATTAATTTTATTGTTATTTAATATATAATTTTTATGCAAGTTGCTTAGCAGGCAACATTTAAGCAATTTATAATCTCGTCTTAGCCACTTGGGATCTGTGTGTTAATTGTAATTGATTATTAGTGTGAGTGAAATTCAATTTGGGTACCACTCTCGTACACGCATGCATTTGTCAATAACTCGATAATAATATAAAATTCACTAAGTATACGAATTCTACAAAAACTCACTAATTGGTTTGATAAAACTTAAGTAAGTTAACGTTGTCTGATTTTGAATCTGAATAAATATTTGAACTCAGCAGAAAAAAGTCTGTAGATAGTACAAAACTTTTTCGGTTTTTCGGTTTTTAATTTTTTTTTTTTTTATATATAAGAAAATTTACAACCTGTTCAATTTGCACAGTACCTAAGTAAATATGATAAAAGAAGATTATTTATAACAGGGAATAATTTGAGGAGAGTAGCTACCCATTAGTGACACTTTATTACACTTTATTACAGAGATATTATATATATATATTTTTTTAAATTTTTTTTTCTTCTTTATACGATAAGCAAATCACGGCACCATTTACGTTTTAACCTTATTGGCGGGTTACCGGGGATTGTTGGAGTTGCGAGATTTCTAGCAAGCGGATTGGGGTGAAGTAGTAAGCGAAGGTGGAAACGTTTGTAATATATTTTGCCTTCATCATGCACTAGTATGATCTTAGTTCTGAGTGAATAGTATGAATAGATTCGTAGGGAGGGGCATTTATTAATTTACGAAGTGCTATATTTTGTAAAGTTTGGATTTTGTTTAGGTTAGACTTTTTTGCGTTACCCTTATAGTTGCAGCCCATATGTCCACACGGGTTTGAGTAAGGATTTGTAAATAAGGAGTTTAGTTCTAGTGTGTGTATATTTGTTATTATAAACGAGATTTTTTAATAGTCGTAATCGTTGGTTTAGATTTACTTTTTTGGATTTGATATGCTGGGCCCAGGTCAGCCTTTTATCGAGGGTTAATCCAAGATATTTAGTATTCTGAGCACTTGGAATTTAAGTCCCATAAATGAAAATATCATCGCAAGGAGCAAGTCTCAGGGTGAACGTCGTATGGATAGATTTGGATGAACTTGTTGTATAGTTGAGTGGGTAGTGCGAAATCCAAATTGAGAATTGGGAATGATGGAGTTTTCTGCAATAAACGGAAGCAAACGTTTGTGTATACGTTTTTCCAGAATTTTGGCAAAGAATGGAAGAAGGCTTATGGGAAGAAAAGAGGAAATTGAATCAGGTGGATTATTAGGTTTTAGGTTTGGGGACTAAGATAATAGTAGACAATTTCCATAAAATTGGGAAGTAAGAGAGTCGTAAAACAGAGTTAAAAATATGGGAAAGATGTATAATTGCTTTTTTAGGTAAGCACTTACTAAGTAACAGTTACTTGAGCTGTTATAAATTCAAATCCTGGGGATTTTTGAAGGGAGTATTGATTTATGGCAAATTTGATATCATTTGGTGTGAAGTGTTTAACAGGAATAGCCGAAGGAGGTGATGGAGAATTAAGATCATTATTAACAGTATTAATAATAGTATGGGAGAATATGTCAAGGTGAGGTTGGAAAATATCATCAAGATGCACTTTAAAAAGTATCCAGTTAATGCATTGACTGATCACTTTTAACGAATTTCATATACTTTTCTTATAACAGTTCATTTAGTTTTGTTAATTTTATACAGCTAAAGAGATACTACTCTTATTATTATAATAATATATTTTATACATTTTAACAAAAATGTGATCACACGGCGTTTTGGATAGACTATTTAAGCACAGCAATGTTGTGGGTTCATTTATCCAGTGTTTCATAAAATCATAATCTGTACTAAATATTATAATTTTCAATACATTTATTGTCCATGAATTATAATAAATAATAATACTTTTATTATTATGATCACAAAGCGAATCGGTCTATTCAGGCACAATATTGTTATCCTGTTATCCTTGTTCAATTATTGTTATCCTAATACTTTTATAAGATACATGGTTTGATTAAGTATATTAAAGCATGATATATCGAGGGTATAAGCAATATATGCTAATATATTAATATATTATGCTATATGTTATATGGTTATATGTATTAGTATTTAGTAATCACCAAGATGAAATTAGTATATATCATGATTATACTTAACAACTATATGTAATTTTAGGCAATTGAGATTGGAACAATATTATAGCAAATGTTTAATTTTCTTATAATTTTTTTTATAGGTAGAAACAATGTTATTAAAATAAAAATAAATAAGAAATAAATAATTTATAAAACAGTTTTGTACATTAATGAGGTAGCTACTTAACTATTTATTATTTATTGTATTGAATATTATTATATAGCCATATAGGTAATTTATAAAGTCATGGTAGCTACGTTCACACCTATTTTGGCCTCACATTTAGTAAATTATTAATACATACCCAGATTTATTTTTATTTTTTCATATGTGAAAAAACACAAATAGTATGATGAACGTGATGTAATCTAGTCATTAATAATTATTCTATAGAAACAATTATTATACATTTATGAGATATCAGTCAAAACCACTGAGCATTTAACATAACGTCTCATGGCGTTTTTTAATGGATTTAATATAGGCAAATTTCTTAATATTTTAAGGTATATATTCAAACCCTTTAAACTTTTAATCAAAACGATCTTTGCAACTGAAAAAAATTAGGGTACATCTAGTCGTACAATTTAAAAAAATGAAAAGATTTTGGATTTGATAAAGAAGTTTACTTTGCATCGATAAGAGCATATATTTAATATTTTTTAATAGCTTTTAGTTTATTCAATATTTCAATATAAAAAATTGAAAAATCTATAACATTTAAAAAGTTTAATACCGTCAAGAATTCGCTTAAAATGAAAAAGTGCCCCAACCAATGCAAGTCAATCTTGTTTATTTATTTCAGCCAAATCAATTACAATTAAATAATTATCATAAATTACATTAATAATAGCCGATACATATACCAACTGAGATATAAGTTCATATCTGGTATACGGAGTTCGTGGATATTATAATTCGTTAAATAATAAATAAAGTTATGCATTCAAAAAATCAAACATTTTTACATTTTTTAAATCAGTTATTTGGAAGTCCTTGAATATTTTTCAGGCATAATAGTTACCCTACGTCCATAAATTTATTTTGAATATTTTGATCTAATGACTAAATTACATGTGCATTCGGGTGCGTAATATGTATGATTTTTTTTATTTTATTTTTTTATTTAAATTAATATCGAAAGATTAATGGGCCTCACTGAGGAAAACTCGTGTGGATGAAGTATAGTAGTATCCAGTATCCACACTAATGATCATTTACTCTCACGATTATGCACTACACACACAAAGACGAACAGTTAATGCAAAATAACGAAAGAATTGCTTAAATACAACACTGGAGTGGTAAGATTGTCGCAGAGTTACGAGTGTGTGGCTAATCTTGTCGCCACGCTAAACAGAGGATGAGACAGAGCATTAGAGACTTCACATCAAAAAATAAATTATAAAATATACGTATTATATAAATCACTCATTATTATTTGACATAATCGTATTAAATAATTAAAAGGGAATGTATAAAAAAAAATATTACAATAATGAATTAACGAAAAATCCATCTTCAATTCTTCCACACAGAGCATACAATACATTTTTTTGTTGTGTCTTACTCTTAAAACAACAATAATGATTTGTATTTATAACAATATAAATATCGTAAGACGGATATACTTTCGAGTTTCGGCGGTAAATTTTTAAAATCTTGGCTTACACGCACACATATCAGTGGCGAGTTTCGATGCAAGTGTGGTTGCATCGAGTGCCAAAACAAAACTAAATATAATATATATTAAAATATTGGACATATATTATTATACATCAGGAAACCGGCCCGGATATTCGGTTATGGTAACTGGTACTTTTTCAAAGCGTCGATGAAGGTCACTATTATGCCTGCTAGGACGTGCGGTGACGACGACGACGACGACGTGCCAGCGCTTGACGACTTGGGCGACAGCAGTAGTTGTTCGACGCCGGCTATCGTCCCGTTCACCGGCCTTGCGTAATTGGCCGTCTCGTCTAGTGCCAACAGGTGGCTTATCAGCGGGTACAGGTCCACGTTGTCAAATGACTTTGCAGTGAAGTTCTTTTTGAACATCGGTCCCGAAACCATGAAAAGGGCGTGCATCAGAGGGTCGTCATTGTCGTACCCGTGGGTCCCGGTTCTGAACATTTCCTTGGCTGAAAATAGATGACAAACATTTTTAAAAAAAATGTTAAGTGTACACGGGGATTAGGTACCTCGAGTATATAATAATGATACTAGATAGCCGACTGAGTCATGTTATTAAGGCCAATAAAATGGCTCTATCATCTAATTCTCACATTTAAGATATGTTTACACATACTAATACGTATCTAGATAATAATGTCGCATAATATGTATTATGTATTATAACAAGTATAGTAACATATTAAATATAATTACAATGAAAATTTTATTTTATAAAACATTTTACGAGACTACATAATATAAGCCATAAGGTATAGTTGTTTTTCCTTTTTTAATATTTTGGGTATATTATATTGATCGTTGGATCCAAAACAAAAGCATCTAATCAATTAACAGTGTAACTCCAATCGATTATTGTCAACTAAACGCAAATAATATAGCAACTATTAGATAATAATCTTAACATAAAGTAGAATATGTACAAGTTGTAGTAGTAGTATAAGTAGTATATTATGTATTATACTTTTCGGGTTTTAAAATGTACATGTCATTGTTAATTTTTAATTAGGAATTTTAAATTTAGTTAACTTTAAAGAGTAGACACTTTGGTACCTAGTTATACAGCTATTTATTAGTATCTGTCTATTTTGGGGTGTTCTCGATTTTTCAACATAATATGTATCTACTTATAAATCACAAATATTCTAAACACAACTACTCTAATTGTAACAGTACCTTACAGAGATAGGTTGGTAATATAAATAAACTGTGAAAACTAACTAACTTGTTTTATCCAAAATTTTTTGATAAAAACTGTACCAAAACGCGTAACTGGGTTTTGACAGCAAATAGATGATCCCGTTCAATCTAGGATTATTCTTCATATGCCAACGGTCAGGTAATTCTTTTTTTTTGAACACGTAAAATGTTTTTGATGTATTGGCTCCGCTTGAAAGATTCGCATAAACTTCGTCAAATTTACCTAAAAATAATATAATATTTAGTGTCTCTAATAACGTAATACATTAGACTTGGAAGACCGTTGTTTTAAATTATTTACCCATGTTTGGAAGTATAAATGCATTTGGACCTGTAATAACGGATTTGTAGGTCATATTGGATACGTAATCATCTAGAAATATCATTCTATCATATGTTACTGTTTCCATTCCGTGGTCGCTAAGAATTATGAGGTTTATTTTCTCTTCTAATTTTTTATATTTTAATTGATCAAGTATGTATCTATATTAAACAACCAAAATTATGATTTTAAAATTATTTTAAACATATTTCTATCAAGATTAGGCAAATGGGGGCAAGCTCATGAAAAACTATAGGTTTATAGGATATTAGGTATTCAACGTTAAGTCAACGTTAAGAAAGTTGATTTATAAGCTAATAGATAATAACAGAGATGCGTGAAGCTTTCCTACTCAAAATGATTTTGGACTTTTTTAGTGAGAGTGGCTAGGGGTTGGTTGTTAAATGTTTGAAATTGTGGTTAAACATGTATACAAATTGCATAACAATTACTGATGTGGTTTTTGAGCTGAATTTCAATACATACATGGCAGCGTCATGCACCTAAAAACAATGTATTTAACTATAATAGATAAAAGTTACTATGGAGAAAAATATTGACTTAACTTGGTTAAAAAGGAATTATTTAATATTTTTTTAACTTATCTTTAATAAGTTTGAACTAGTTAATGCCAATATTTGACTTTAAATAATCATTAAAATAGTTGTATATACCTAACTGGCTAACTGTATATTAAAAATTAATAGTTTTGAGATATTGTAATAAATATTATAGTTAGGTATATTAAAACTATGTATAGTTAAATCTTAAATCATAAATATACTTGACTGTGTCATCTACTCTAACGATTTGATTGTTTATCTCTTGTGAGCCGACTCCTTTTATATGACCAGTTCTATCTGGTTCTTCAAAATATGCAAACACTAGATTGGCTGGTTGATTTTCATCTTCAATCCATGACATGATAGTGTCTATTCGAGAATTCCAATGTATTGAACTAAACAAAAAAAAACATTTTTTGTATGTTCTACATTAATAATGTAGGAAGGGCATCCTTCATGCCTATGGAAATAGTTGATTTGTCAGGAGTAATTCAAATATGTAATAAGATATTTGACACCCCAGTGCTCATTTTCGATGCTCTCACAGAGGGAGACTCTTCTATAAATATCAAATTTTGACAGTAAAAGAAAATTCGTTTAAATACGTTTGATACGACTTCTCCCTCTCCTAAGTACGGTACTATATTATGTATATGGAATACGTAAATTAATATTAAATTTAAATACGGTTATTGACCTTTTCTAAAAATAAATTGGAAAGTAGATATTATTTTCATTTTACTGATTTTTTAATTTTATATTTTAGAGTTTTTTTCAATTTATGAAATGTGAAATATCTATACACCTTCAAGTTTCAGATTTCTAAAGAAAAGTTGAGGTAAAACTTCATTGCTCCTGCGGTATAACTTAATTGTGTTATTACTTGTTGTATACTTCAATGTAAGTTGGGGTTTTGCCTTGATATGGAAATTCTGATCCTGGCCACATCATTACACCACTATGTCGACCTTCTCCATTATTTTCGTTTTGTATCTGTAATTAAGTTATAATTATGCACCAGATAATTAGTATCTAAATACAAATTAAATGTTAATCTTGAAAAAACAATTGAGGTAAATGAAAATATATTATTTTAATGAACTGCAATAGTCAAATAAGATAACAAATTCATTTTTACAAGAACTTGTTGGGTGCAAATATTTTTCTTGAAGAATAAATAAATAATATTGTAAAAACTGTATCTTAATATTTTGCCTCCAAAAAGTTCACTTCAATCATATTTATTGGGTACCTAGCTAGTTCGGTGCATTTTAAGAATACTTTGCTTAATATCCTCTAATATAAGTGAATGTTTTAAATAAATAAAAGTATTGTTTTATATATTAAATCATAGTCTCATTATTATAGTTTATTATTAATTTTATTATTGCTGCATTTTCAACAAAATATGCAATTTATACTTATTATTGTGCCACAGTAGGTACGTTTTAAATTGTATATAAAAGCGTAATAGGTAATAACGTTAACGTATACGATACTACGACAATAATTGTAAAATAATTTTGTTCTTGTACTTTTAAACTATTTATCTTTATAACTAGAATTAGATAATAATTTCTATAAATTAGTGGTAAGAGTTCAATAAATATCATTTAAAAGGAAAACAATAACGTAGGTAGATAATAATTATATAAATTTGGTTGAATAAGTTTCAGGTAAAATCATTTAAAATTATTTGGTGTCCCTATAATATTAATAATTTCAATATGCATATTGCATATTATTATATACCGATTACGGATGTATAAAACTTATTATTATAATGTGATTAATGTAAAATGTGATTAATATTGTATACCTATTTTAGTAATCATTAAGATTAAAGTTCATAATATTATTGAATAATGGGTGTAATAGTTTTAATTTTAGCTAGTGTAAATAATATGGTGCATAAAATGCCATATATGGAATGTTGAGAATGATTAAAAAAAAAGTAAGATGAAGTAGTGGTGCCAGGATTTTTACTGAAAATCGGTCAAATTGGGGCAGTTTAAATTTTGGTAAAGCTTAATCAGGGCCGTATTTAGGGATTTTTCGCCCCCGGGCACAATATTTATGGCGCCCCTTTCCAACACATTTTTTTTAATACCATAGAAGTGGTGGCTAAATTTTATTTTTTTTTGGGGGGGGGGCATAACATTAATTCATTTTTTATGTTTCCCTATCTCATTGAAATTTAATTTGCAGTTAATTTTTAGCAATTTTAACTAGGTACCTATGCATTCCAATACCTATTAGATTTTTAATAGTAGGTAAACCAGGGCCGGTTATAGGCGTAGGCGACGTAGGCACAAGCCTACGGCGGCACAAAATTTATAACTATATAGAGGCGGCATATAAGAAAAAATCAAATATCTAAGAGGCGGCAATTTTGATCTTTGCCTACATATAAAAAATTGCTTGCGCCGGCCCTGAGGTAAACTATACAATAAAACATAAGTAACTACACTAACTAGTTTATAACTTAGGTCTTAGGTACTATCTACCTAGAATCTTCCATGATTCAAATAATAAAGAATGATATACCTACAATTAATAATATGTACTATAATATAGTAATATAATAATATTTATTGTTTATTTTACAATTTTTTTCTTGATTGAATATCAGCAAAATGATCTATTATATCTTCATATTTAATTTGTTTTGTTATTTCTGATTCAATATTTAATATTGCATGTGAGTTTAATCTCTCTTTAGAAATTGTTGACCTTAGGTATGTTTTTATTCAGCGTAACGTTGAAAATGACCGTTCAGCGGTACAGTTTGAACAGGGAGTAGGTACATAAAAACATGTGTAAAGCAAAGCAATACTAACACACGGGTAAATGTCTTCTGATCCTTCTATTTTTAACATAGAACTCATATCAATTATAGTTGATGGAGAATTTTTCATACTTTGAATATAACTTTGAAAATGAACACATTCGTTAATAAATGTTACATCCAAATCTTTTGTATACATTGAGTACAAATGTTCAGCTAAAACACGTACTTCTGATGGTTTTATCTTTGTGAGTCTTAAAAAAAAAACTATACTTTGTTATGACATTATCGTAAGCTAACTTTCGACTTGTTAATTCTTCTATTATAGAATCACAATTCACTAAATATGTGTTTACTTTGAATTCCAAACTATGGTTTCTACTTTCTCACTATGCTCTTCTCTTTTAAGTTTAAACATGGTATTTATTTCGTTTGTTTTTCTTATAACTTCATTAGGGTTTTCCTTCTTTTTTTTTGCCTCCTTACCATTGCATACACCACTAGCTTTGACTCTTTTTAGCTCCATTAAAGTATAATTTCAACTAAAAAATTGTTATGACACAATTAAACTTATCTAGTCTTACTTATTAATAATTATTTACCTACTTGCCACTATGGCTAAATTACTGCATTCAATTCATATGTATAATGTATAAATATATAAACATATAAATATATCCAATAATTGTATGCAGATTTGCAATGTAATTTAAGTGAACCTAAACTGTGTAATTGTAGTGTACCTACCTTAACTGGCACAACCTTACAATATCAATTATAAAGTTGAAAGTTTTAATATTATTATAAATAATATAATAATAATAATAATATTTTATTTTATATAACAATTCAAAAAAAAGTAAACTCTTATTTCTATTATATTAGTTCACTTATTGAGATTTAAATTATGTAGGTACGGAGTACGTAGTCACTGACATATAGAGTTTAGCAAGTTGTATAATATGAAATGACACAAATGTATTTTAGTAGCCAGTAAATAAGTACAATAGATAATCCTGATTTGCCAATACGGGCCAACGCAGTTATACTATACGTCTAGTTTTACAGTTTATTAGTAAAAATAAACCCACTAATATTTAATAATGTTAGGTACCTACCTACTTAGTTAATAACGTTTATTTCTCTTTATTTAAAATGATAAAATATAGGTAAAAAAAATGTATGCATACGTGAATTTAAAAAATAAATAATAATAAAATATATCATTTTTTAGAAATCTTTTTTTTGTTTATTTTATCTGAGATAATTTTGCCGCCCCCAAAGTGTGCCGCCCCCGGGCAATTGCCCACCGGTGCCCCCCTTAAAACCGGCCCTGAGCTTAATGAAATATTAATATCATAGCTGTGGGAAGTCTTACCCTGAGTTTTATACTTGAGTATAATATTACAAATAAAAAATAACTATATACAATTTTAAAAATAACACCGCCAATTATAAGTTTACTTTAATAAGTAAGACGTTATATACCTACGTAAATGTAACAGTTATGACGATCTAAAATATCTAGTGACTTATAAGTTGAAATCAAAACATGTACCTAACAACTAACAACAATAATAATAATAATAATAATAATAATAAAAAAAAATCACACCGTTCAAGAATTTACGAGAATATAATATTATGCAATATTTTCTTCCATAACTTATGAGTAAAAACCTATAGTATATTAATAGTTTTTATTCGATTTTAAATTACCTGAATTGGCTAAATTGAACATTAAATTGAACATTTAAAAACAAATATCAATCATATTAAAACATTTTTCAATAAAATTACATTTTAAATATATACATTACATTCAATAGGTATGTATTAAACCAATTGTTTACTTAAATTTTTTTTTTGTCATCCACCATAGTTATTATTAGTTGGAATCGTGATTAATAATAATGGTTTTTTACAAAAATATAAATATTAAAAATGTAAAATGCACTCGAATAAATAACAAATTTATGTATAAACTATACTTTACGCTTTTCAATGATATTATAAATTATTTGTTATATTAATCTTAAAGTTTTTCTTATTTAAAATATTAATAATATTATATTTAAACTTATTTTTTTTCTGGGGAAATGTTCGTTAGGTAAAACAGTACAATGGATTCCAAGGTCTAAAATATAATTACAACAGAACAATGTTTGTATTTTAAATTCTGAGTGGAATGATGAATGTATAATACATTAGTTTTAAATGGATTGTGCATGTATTTTTATTTTTGTGTCTTTCATCTTTTGGAGCAGTAAAAATTCTTAATCTGTAACGTTCAGAGTAGTTTCTGCTAGAAAATTGAATCTAATTAGTACTTTGGTCTAAAGTAAAAACTTTTTTCCAGTACTTACCCACTTACATTTCAAATTAGTTGAGAAAATTAAAAAAAATAAATGAGGAAAAACGGTAACATATACGAAATACTTAATACTTGTCAGGTTTGAATTGTTTTTGTAATTATTGTAATTTTATTGTAAATTCAAAAATGAATATCCGTGGGTAATAGACATTTTCACAAAATATTTACATTTTCATTTTCTAGACATTATATAATTTTAAAATATTTTTTTTTGTTACTGAGCTATTTATAGATAATATGTGTTTGCAATTTTCGTTTGCAAGCGAAATGCTTTAAAATGTAATAGGTACAAGGTCTTTCTTACGTTTATTAAGATTAATGAAAATATATGGTCACAATTTTAAGTTTCTAAAAATAAGTACTTATAGGACATCTTATATTCTCATTATGTCTGTATGTATTTATTTTAAAGATACATTTTGTTTTATACGTCATAATGAAAATTTCCAAATGTTAAGCTATGTATTATGTATAGACGTATAGTTTGACCACGAAACCTGTTCACTTTGTTCTACGGTAATGACTTATAAGTTATAAGTATTATAATAACAAAAAGGTATGGTTTAATATTATAATCATTATTATATAATAAAATAATATTATCTGATGAGGTTTTTGGCAAAAATAAGTTTAACCCAGTGTATTCCGATTAGTCATATACAGGGCTCGTAACTTCATGCACTAAAAAATGCATAAATAAGCATGCATTCATGCACTAAAAATTGTCAAAATGTGCATTAAAATATGCACTTAAAAGTTCGAAAATATGCATTTATATCAATATGCCTTCACATTTTTAAATTATAAACTCAAAATATGCATTATGTAAAAAAAACATGACCAAATTTTAAAGTTAGAATAAATCCATATATTTTAAAAGTATTTTATTCCTTTTTATTTTTATATATTTAACAGTCAAAATTAATAAAATAAAAAATAAAATTAATACTTGTGAAGTTCAAATAGCTTTGTCATCTTTATAAATTTTAATTAGGTAGTCATTTTTGTCTAATTTGTGTACACCCTTATTCAGCACCAACAATGAAAACATTTGGAATTAAATATTAGATTTTTCATTTTGAGATAATTTAGTAATATATATTTTATAAGTGTATTTTTTATGTTTTCCAACTTAAGAGGGCGCACTAGTAGACAAAATATGGCATAAATCCATGGTTTCGTAATTCAAGTAATACGGCTTATTGAAGTGGCTTACAGTAAAAATACCTATTATAAAAATTGTAGAGTAGAACTTTTTTTACAATCGAAAGAAGCCCGATTTTCGATATTTTTATTAATTAGCTAAATAATTAATCAATAAAAAATTTAAAAAACCGTTATAATTTACCATGCGATATTGGACGATTGGAACAAGATATCAAAAATCGGAAAAAACTTTTCAAATATTTGTCTAAAAAATATTTTTATGAAATAATATGTACTAACGACTGTAAAAAATCAACTATATGCCAAATATGAATTTACACCCAAAACATGCAAAAACATGCACTATCAAACTCCATATTATTATTACTATTGTTATGAAACGGATTTGTATCTCAGTTAGCATGTTTTCCTATGTAGCAAAAAAAACATGCAGATGCATGAACTTACGAGCCCTGGTCATCACTTATGGATTGCTTGTTCCGTCAAGCTATGCGTGCAAATTTGTAAGATAATTTTAAACATTACAATATATTCTTATTGTATCTGAAGGTGCAGAATGTGTTTATAAGAAAAAGAAAAAACAATATATATAATTCGATATTATATACCTATTATACTGTAATATTATAGTTCGTTAAAGAAATCAACCATGCATTTTTTTTAAATAAAACCTCGTCTATATACAATCAAACCTTTTGATATTAAAAATAAACTCAAGATAAAACAATTACATTTTAACAATGAACAAAAATATAAACATTATAAAATCTCCTCTGGAATAAATCTAATAAACGGTCATTTAATAAATATTTAATTTTATTAAGTACTTTTCATTAAAAATGTCAAAGAATAATAACATTTCTGATTAAAATATTTTACTGGAAAAAAAAATGTTAAATATATGACTCATATACATAGGCGCAAATAGAGGGAGAGCTTTAGGGGCTAAGCTCCTCCCCAAAAAAATGTCTATAGACCCCAAAACCTTTCCTATTTTTTGGCTTAGGTATTCAATTTCATCAAAGTAAGGCTTTACCCCCCCCCCCCCCCACCCCCCAAATCCCAAAGGCTATTTGCGCCTATGGTCATATACATGAATATTATTAACTATCCTTAGGAATAGAGACTGACACACCGTCTCTGTTTATAATAGTTTTTTTTATAGGAATGAGGTAAATTATCATTGAATACGAATTTTGTACATTCATTATGATTACCTAAACTATTATTGTGAGTTGTGAACTATTCAGTGACAAGGTAAATTATAAATGTGTTATAGTGAGGTTTTGTTTTTTTTTGTGAATTTTAATTCTGTTTTTAACATACTTATCTAAATTTATACTCTAATTACAATTATTATTCTAATTTGTATACATAATATATATTCTTATCACCACAATGTTATTATGCTAACGAGTAGGTAGCAAACAGTAAATAACATTGACTGTGAATTTCTAGATAAGAATTCCTTTGCATGGATTGTGGTGGATTTGCTCTTTGTTTTTATTTATGTTTTTGAGGTGTTATAATATAAAAAATATTAGCTATATACTCGTTATTAAACTCAATTAATTAAGGCACAGATTTATTATATATAAAGACTTTCACAAATACTTGTAGAAAAAGTTATCTATGACTCCTCGTCCATTCCTAGGAATCCCCAAGCGGGTGGGGGAATTCGACTTACCTACTAAAAATGTCGAGTTATCAAAATCTTAATGTGTTATTGTTATTTGAAGGGGAATTTTATTTATTCGTGATGTCGAGAATTTTGAGTTATCAAGATTCGAGTTACCGTGAGTACTCTGTATCATTAAAATTTACATGAAAATGTGTTAAGTCTTAAGTACAAGGCAATATTTACAGTATAAACGAAAATGCCCAAAATTACATAAAAAAAATATAAAAAGTTCATACTCGCAAAAAATAGTTTTGTAACTTATAAATAATTAGTTAGAAAAAAATATGCAAATGAAATAACTTACATGCCCTAAAGTGATGGGTACATCGCACAGTAACACCATTTATAATAATATAATAAAATAAATCCAATAAGTCTTTATTGTTCGTCATTTTAACTTTCAAGTCATATTGATTAGTTTTATTTTAAATCAAATAACAATATGACAAATGTAATTATAGGATTTCTCAAGAGTTTTTTGCTAAAACAATTTTGATGGAATGTATATCAAGCTACAGAAGTATTTTTGGGAAACACAGATAATGCAGTAATGTCTGAAAAGTGGAAAGAGTAGCTGGTATATCCATAAAATATCCATTTTTGTTTTAAACATTTAGTCTATATAATTTTTTACACTGAGATATTGTTCGACGACTGGCAAGTGGCTACCTATCTGAATATTTATTCTAGCTTCTTAGGTTATTTTAAATCGCCGATGCAATATAGTAAATGCGCTGGTATAATTATTGCCGTAGGTTGATAATACCGTTTCTTCATCATCGTCATCGTTATCGTCCCACATATGAGTGGGATCACGATATAATAATATTATACAATTATAATAATTGGGAAAAGTTTATTCTAGTTACGTCTATACACTATTACAGTGCATAATACCTATGTGCGCACAATTTATATTACACTTACATTATACATTAATCACTAATTTTCGAGGAAAATTGAATTTTATATAGGTACCTACTCAATATCTCCTCAGCTATGTGAGTATATGACAAATCACGTGGACTGATTTTGCTAGGCCGAGTTGAGGTACTACCTTTACTGTCAAATAACTAACAACAAAGCAACAAAGTTCTCTATATTTACATTTACCAGTTACCACATACTATAAACAATTTATGTTTTTTAAACGACTCACGCCAATGAATCTGTGTATTTTTCCTACTAAATATTAAGTTATCACAATTCAATGACACTATAATAAGAACCTTCATTTTATCCAACACTAAATATTATGATATTTCACTTCCTAAATTCTTTTCTTTCACATAATTTGTACGTATAGGATTTTGATCGTACAGTACTTTAACACCATGGGTAAAAAGTGAGGGTCTAAGTTATCTAACCAAAATTAAATTTTTATAATAAGAATAATTATTATTATAATAGAGAGATATACATATTTTATGTTTTAAACTCATAGACTCATCAAGAATCAAAGTGGCGGGACTCTTGGTTCTCTCGGGCAAAGCCACCTACCTATAGTATGGTATAGTTATATAGTTATATGTAGCGTATGGGGCGATGGGGAGGGGAGGGGGCTTACCCAGATAGGCACCACCGAATCGTCGTAATGGAACTGCTCGTACGTGTAGTGCATCGTCTCGTTGTGGCTGTCGAACATGGTATTGTCGAACACGCCATGCGTCTCAGGATTCAGTCCGGTGGCCATGGTGAAGTGGTTGACGAACGTCTTCGTGGGGAACGCGCTGCGCATGTACGGCGGCGCGGCGGACGCGTCCCGGAACTTGGCCATGTGCGGCGTCACGTCGGGCCGGATATAGTCGGGCCGGAAACCGTCGAACGACACGACCACCGTCACCTGGTGTCGCTTGACGGTGGTCGCCGTCACCGTAGCGAAGACCGCGACTAAGCACTGCATGGCCACAGCGACGGCCGGCCTGCACATGGTGATCGGAGGAAAAAAATCGTTCACCGGTGGCTGTGTGGTCGCGGTGATCTACGCGTCTGTATAGATCGACGAGTGCTTCCGGTGTGGATGTGGCCGGACTCCACAGGGGAAAGGAGGCCGGTCAACGGCGGCGTCCGAAGCGAACGGTCTTTGTCATGAGGCCCATATGTCGGAATTTATAATCGGATCGTGTTTCGAGGTGCAGTGCAAAGCGTTGCAGGTATCCGGTGCAGTCGCTATTCTTTGGCCACGGACTTACTGCCACGTATCTTATTGACGTGCGACCAATATGATATAGTATGGTCCGCGGTTCACGGTAAAAACCACAATCTCACTATCGTCGATATACCACTATTCACTGACCAAACGGATTGCACGCAAGCAGTGAAACAGATGTTAACAAACCTACAATGTTATTGCGAAATTCGTCGAGTCAGCAATTACCGCCGGCCTTCGGGCGTGGTGGAGCCACGGCGGACTGCACAGTTTGTGGCAAGTGGAATACTATAGTTTCAAATGCCGAGACAAAAGAGTTTCGCCAGTGACGTCCTGCGGATTTCTGGAGAATATGAACCTGCGGCCGAACGACAGCGGCGGGTGGTGTACAATAATAATATTTGCGCGTGTTGACGGTCCGCGGGTAACTGCAGCGTGACACTTTTCAAACTCTTGTGGCGGTGTGGGCGAAGACGCGCGTGCCGAACAGGCGCGACACTCGTTCGGTTGGAGTGGGAGCAGTGCTAGGCCGTCACGCTACTCGAATAAACCATTATTCAGTCGTAATGACGTCGAATTCCGCGCCGAGGCATATCGCCGTGTGTAAAAAGACAACCTTGGTTATACGAATAAATATTATATCTGTCGCTGATGATAATATATCCATTGAATTCAGGACTTGAAATTGTGTGGCGCACAAAGGGTGTGCTGGAATAATTTATATTATTATGGGGGACTTTGCTCAAGCCCCCCCCCCCATATGTGCGCCTATGAGTAGCACACACTATGTGTAACAGTGTAGAGTATATTATATGAATTTTTCACTGTGGAGTCATATAAAGAATTTAATAGACGTATTCAGTATACATATATTATATTTATATTATTTTGTACATCATACATGCTGTATTGTGTATAAAATTTGGTCTGCGGGGCGATATGACGCTCCCCCGCCCACCGTAGATACGTCACTGATGTGCATTAGCAAAATATTTTAAGTGTGCAGTACCAAATTAAAAAGTATGCAGTACTTATTTATAATTTTATTCGGTTTTACATTCCACTAGGTCTATTATTTTACAATACTTTGGTGAGTGGAATTACATGCTCAACAGCATAATTCGTGATTATTAGGCAGTTCCATGGAGACAATGTTTAACATAATATTAGTATTGGGAAAGGCCCTATTGTTAAAACATTAACCGCACTGAATGTCTGAATATCGTCAAAGAGTACCTAATGAACGTCAAAGTTATAAAGGCGAAAATGGTACAAAAACGTAGTATATTTATTTAGTCAATACTAGACAGTAGACACCTGTCCATACTCGGATTATTCCATATTATTATTGATTATTATGAAAGTGTGAATAGTGAATTATGTAAATGAAAAACCTGGTTAAAATATAAGAGTAGGTACCTTTTTTTAATTGTTATAGAAGTATATTATTATGTAATTTAAATTAATTTAACTAACAGATTTCCTGTGACAATAAGATAAACTGAAATCCAGCATCATTTTTTTGATTGCACTTTGTCTGTGTGATTAAAATCATGTTTGAATAAAAGTCGTAAAAACGTATAATTAAGGCTAACATAATATTAACAAAATAATGACATGTACTAATATTTTATACATTGAACAAATTTCGTTAGCTCAGAGTTGAAATTTTCATACTATAGTGTCGACACCCGACATCATCCAATTTCTAACGTTATCCGTAAAGCCGTAACATAATTTAAACATACAATACACGCCAAAATTCTGACTAAAAACGAATAGACGACTGATTTTGCACAATGTGTATGTCTCACACTTTTCGAGTCGGTGGGTTGGAACTTGGAAGAGCATCATTAATCAACCCTACGAAAGTGTGATGAAGACCAGCCAATTTTTTGTTTATCATGGGGAAGCACAGAATGAAGATTGATCTCGATATACAAAATCTTCTTTTCTCAAAAACGACCTTCGTTAGGTTAGTTTTACTAATTATGATAACCATAAGCCATAATATGTTTGAAGTTTAAACAAATAGCTATGTATATTTTATGACATTTACTAAATTAAATAGAATGCATAAATAACATTACTGTCTTACATGTTACATTTATATGGATTTTAATTTTGAATGGCTGATAATTGGGATGATCATCATTTTCACTTTTACGAAAATAAGGTAATCACTTATATTTAAATACTTGGTTATTTAAATGATTAGCATTGGTAACTACTGCATTTGTTTACAATCCAATATACAACAATACAACCTAAAAATAAAATGCCTTATGATTATAAATTATATATTATTTTACACAAACATTTATCAATTAAATTAATTAATATAAATATAGAAGGTAGGTACATTAAAAAAGAAGTACAAATACACTTTACCACCCCACTCAAATTTTTCGATTATTTTTTGTTTTGTTACTTACATAATATATTACGGAGTTCAGAACGATGGTGTAAAAAATAATCAGTGGAAATCTTTAGTTTTTAAGTTATAGCTTTCTTAAGTTCACGATTTTCCACTCAACGCTCTACTTAAGTTACCAACGGGCTTTGTAAGGCGGTGATAGCGCATGAGGGTATGGCGTATGATAAGTAGTCGCTCTCTACGCCTGCCAAATCTGGTTGCCAAACTCGAGGTCCAAAGTCCTTTTGGTTGGTGGTTAACCTAAGGAAGGATGGGTTCATTCCAGTAAGGACACTTATGAGAAGTCAGTTTGTACTAATTTTTCAATAGGCTTAAAATATTTAAGTTAAACATTTTATGAGTTTGTAACAATATGAACATTTTTGGGGTTTTGCGATTTTGACGATGTATTTTTGATATTTTTCCATTGCTACAAGAATAACATTGTTTTCAATTCTAAGTTTTTTGTGTAACAAATAAAAATGTTACTATACAATATACATAAATCGAAAACAAAGTTAAAAATATAAAATGTCTATAAATAGAATAAAACCAGTCAAAAAATTACAGCTTGGTTATAAATGGAAGTAAGGTAGTTTTGATTTTTACTTTGATTACCAAATTATCAATTATAATTTATTTATACTATATTTCTGTAGTTACAAAAATTGTTCAGTCAATATTATACTTTTATAATATAATTAGTAATTAGTCTATAAGATACAGCTAAAATAAGTTTATTTTCGTAACACACTATACACATTTTATTTTTTGAAAAACATTAAATGTATTTTTATTATTTTATAATATTATATACATATATTTATATATATGGTAAACTTATACTATTTGAGATTATCATTGTTACTTGTTCCCTAATTTGTATCATAGTTATTTTTATGAAATCAGTAACAACTATAACAAGGTTTGTACTGTACGTCTGTACACAATCTTGAAAAAAAAAAATAACAACATTTAAAATAAAGTAGTTTCTCCTCTTCCCGAGCAGTATCTAACGTTTCTTATTATGTACATTAGATACATTAGATGTCTTATATATATATATATATATAGACTACTAAAAGACTACTAAAAGACTCTAGAATGAGCTAGGTGCACGTGCAAGTAGGGTAACAAAATTATGTACTTTGTAATTAACAAGGTTATTTAACCTTGTTGTCGTTTCTCCGAAATCTTCCGCTTACCTGCAACATCATAACATATTTATATTTTGTAAGTTGATATAATTTCGATACTAAGTTGGTTTGATAAAGAAACAGTGGGTGTAAAATCTTTTGGACTATTTCGCACCGAACAATACTCACATACTCCTGTCACATTTACTGTTACTTCTTAATTCTTATATATAGCTTATAGTATGGAAAACTCTTATAAAAATGTATTTCCTAATCAAGTGAATTTGATGCAATACACGTATAAAGTCATATTTTAATGGTGCAGCCATGCAGGTACCTTATCAATGAGTACCTATGATAAATGTTCTGAATACTCAATGTGACAATGTCATAATGTGTTTCTTAAGTCTAATTTAAGTGATTAAGCTATTAAATAGATTATAAAATCTACATTATTATCTGTATATATCTACACTATTATATATATATTATCTTAATACTATAATTATATTTCTAAACTAATATATTATGAAGAATACAGTGCTTTTTTGTTTATTATTGATAAACTTAAAAACTATTAAACTAATTGCAGTGGGCGGTAAAGTGAGAATCCCCATAGTGCCAGGCGGTAAAATGGAGATCCTAAAAAGTGCCGGTCGGTGAAGTGGAAATCCCTAAAATTGCTGGGCGTATCCCTACAACCAGACACTAATCTATGGACACATAGTACGTGTGGCTCGTGAGGGAAGGCAATTTCAGTCATGGGTGAAATGCGGCCCTTGCCTGTGACTCGTGCCACACGCACGTCGCTAGGGATTGAAATAGCTCGCTTCCCTCCCTTGAGACACAATATTATACTATTGTCGTGCAAACGAAAATTTATCTCGTTTTAACCATATGTCTTGTCGTTTATTCTTTTTTTCTGTCTGTTATCAACATTTGGTGGTAAAAATGCAGCTCAAAATATTTTTATGTGCAACGAAGTGCAATGGTTAGCTAGCAAATTAAAGTTAACTTAATACCTAGAGTTTTTCTTTACCATCAAGTGACGAAATTACCACCATTGCAAATAGCGGGTACCTAACCTAGTACCTAGCACGTAGAGGTTCTTTCCGTACATCAATGACGTTATTATCCGGATTGTGTATTCTTAAAATAGTTTTAAGTTTTAATGAAACTAAATTAAAAATCCATATTATTTATCAATATACATGATGATTGCTTGTTAT